AAATAAAATATTGTCGGACTTTCTTCGTTGTGTACATTCGGTTGAGAAACTTGATTTAGGCCGGGCGGAGGCAGGAGTGCGATCCGCGGGACGAGGTGACGTCGCGGCCACTCGTGGAAACACGGTTGTTGAGCATGCACAGGTCGCGCAAGGCATACCTGATACTAGTACTAGTATGCGGCGAAGGAGATACGTTGAGCAACATCTGGCTGCTGAGTGGGCTCTGCTATACATGCAGACGCCATGTGTGATACAAGGGGCGAAAGGAGCCGATGGAGACGGTATTGATAGATGGAGAACGGATGGCCATGACGTGGCATCGCGAGCTGGATGCTACGCGTTCGATGCGTCTGTTGGGTGCGCTGGATCGCAGCTCCTTTCGGCCGCACAGAGGCGAGCGACGCAGACACAAACACACCACGTGCAAGCGTGCTCTGCATTCGGTAGTGCTCCGCAGTGGTGGTGCCTGGATGATTAATCTCACGCCAATAGTGGACGTCGCCGTCCGACCAGAGCGAGACGCGTCGGAGATATGTTGCATTGGGACCTTCATCACGGCTCGTCTCTTCCTGCGCTGCAAATAGCTTGCATCAAGTGTTGCAGTGACGACAGCAGATCCCCAAATGTTGGCTTCGTCAAAACGTGAACGTCTTGATCATGATTTAATCATGATCAATTTATCCCAGCGCGGGTAGCGCACGCTGCAAAATGACCAACGCCACTCAAGGCTACTGCCATACTTCGAGTCTTCGAGATGACGATGCACAAATGGCTCTTCCGGTGGCTATCTAGAGCGTAGGGGTCTTTGCTAACGCTCTCCCAAATCAGATAGGTCAAGCGCCGTGTGATCTGGGGTCGCCAGAAGCATTCGCAAAACCCACCCTCAAGTGCCGCAAGTGGAATTCATTCTACCTTTGGAGGGAGCCAAAGGTGCCGCTCGCAGCTTCTACACCGAGCATGCGTTGTTCAATCATGTCCGTTCCTCCAACCGATCCTAGCATTTGTTTCACAAAAAATGCTACTCGCCTTGTCCAAGGACCGCAACAACACAGACTGTTGCATTGAACATCACGACATCCTATTTGCTTTGATTTTACTACAGTACACGAGAACGAGGATCGGCTTAGGCGCCGCACCACTTGGTGCCGTACTGCGGCGCGAGGTACTCGCAGTAGTTCTTGTCGTAGTCGGGCGTCAAGCACTGCGTCGCCGCCGGGTAGTAGCAGCCAGAGCAGCCGTTGCATGCGTTTTGCGGCTTGGAGGTCGGCTTGGAGGTCGGCTTGGAGGTCGGCTGCGACGGCGACTCGGACGGCTTGCCGAGGAGCGACGGGTACGACACGCCGTTGGCGACGTTGCACATACCGCGGCCACCGACGCCGCGCTGCAAGTAGATGTAGCCGCCTTCGCCCCAGCCCGTGCCCCACGAGTTCTTGATCTTAAAGTGGTTCACGCCGTTCTTGGAGCCATAGCCAACCGCGAGGACGGCGTGGTCCGACTGCGCACCGGGGCAGCTCTGGACAACGCCGCTCTTGTAGTTGCGCCACACGTTGTTGCCGGCCTCGACCGTGACCGAGACCACCTGCTTGTCGAGCGCCGACTGCAGCGAGCTCTCGCCTTGGACGTTGACCGACTTGCCAACGTTGACCTTGGTCTTTTGGCAGTTCTTGCACTGACCGTTCTGGTTGGAGCTACCCGACGAGTACGGGAAACTCGACTCGGTGCAAATGCCGTTCTGGGCAATGTAGTCGAGCGCCTTGTCGGGCCAGCCGCCCTGGCAGCCATGGCCGGCGTTCGGCGCACAGCTCACGAGCTGCTGCTCGGAAAAGTCGACGAGCTGACCGGTCATGAGGCAGTGGCCAAACTCGACCGCGCCGACCGACGAAAACGTCCAGCACGAGCCGCACGTGCCTTGGTTGCGCACCGGCGACATGCACTTGTTGGTCGTCCAGTCGACGCCGGCAGCCTCCTGCTGCGCTTCCGAGAGCGTCATCTGCACGTCGTCGGCGCGGAGCTGGCGCTTGGGCTTGGCCGCGCTGAACGAGCCTTTCACAAACGCCGCAAACTCGTCGTCGGTCATGAGCGCAAACTGGTTGTCGGTCGAAAACTTGGCGTGCGTGTGCTTCTTGTTGAGCTCTGCGACGACCTGCTTGGTGTGGGCAAAGCGCTCGATTTCTTCGCTGCCGTCGTCGAGTTCGCCCGACTCCAAGTTGGACGGTTCCGGCAAGAGACCGTTCTTGGCCGCGAGCTGGCCGGCGCGGCTCTTCTTCCACGCCTCAATCTCGGCCTTGATGTCTTTCTTCTCTTGCGCCGAGAGCTGCAGGCCGTGCGTCGCCGCGAGGCCAAGCACGAGCAGCGACGAGACAGCAACGATGGACGACTTCATCTTCAAGTGGTAGTTGTGGTGTGGGGCAAAGCGCCAATGTGAAAATGACCTCCAGAATGCAGCAGGCGCGCGAAATCCAAAGCGGCGGCGGTGTGAGTAAGTACATTCGATCGCGACACGTCGGTCGGGATCAGACGGCAGATCCAGATTCAGAAGCAACAGGTGGCGTTACCGCACCAAGTGCAATGTGCCGTTTGGAGGCTCTGGACGGCAAAGTCGTGCCAGCTGGTTTTGCGTGGACCGCCGACTGGTTTTGGAGACGTGCTTTATGACTGGCGCTTTTACGAGAGGCAGCGTATTTGTATTGGATTCACTATTACGATCATGGAGTACAGTCTGTCTGGAGTAGCGTAGGATCGTGCGGCGGCATCTGAAGAACGGTGCTGGAGCTTTTGCATTTCGAATCCTCGACACCTAGATGCGAGTGACGCGCTATGCACGATGACCGTTGAAATAACATGAACTAAAGTCGTCTGCTTGTGCGTAAGGTTATGCTTCGAAATCCATGCAACGCAGCTATCAAGCTGCGCAGCGGACGGCAGCAAGGAAGATGGAACGGCTGTGCGTCGCTATGCGCCAAAAAGGGCAGCGAGCGCAGAGAACAGCGATGAAGAGCCCAAGGTTTTTTGTTGCGGTGTTAGCGTCTTTTATACGTTGAGGCCCAAGTCAAAGGCGTCCAAGCCTCGAATCTATCCGATGGGCGCTGCTATGCTACCATACAGTACTTACTAGTAGGACTTTTGGTGAAAACAGCCTTTCTTTTAAGCAACCAAAGAGATTTTGGATGATGTTGAATGACGCTTTTAGACTTGGCGGGTGTTCAAAAATGCCCCTGCCATGCTTCGTACATGGACGGTTACAATTCGGTGCTTCGCTTGGTATGTCCCAACGCCTTGTAATCCGCAAACACAATTCTCGAATGGATTCCATATCGTGTGGCCAGAAATAAGATCGTAGTGCCGTTTCGTAAAGCATCACCATAGACGCGGACGTCACGTGCTCTCACCGACACCATGTTTGATATGGAATCGCATATAGTTGGCACAGCGATAGAAGACACTGTAAAGAGCAGGCCATGCTTCGTTACCGCTGCAGTTGTTCAACGCCGGCAATGCTGGACCAAAGATAGTTAACAGCTTTGTTTACACGTTAGGATATGCCAATTTGGCGGACGCGCTGCAAAAGCGTCCTGCAGGTGCTTGGCCCGCCCTTGCCGCTCCTGGACTGCATTGTCGATCCCAACTCGTGCTCCAAGGGATACATGTATGTGCATGATGGCCTGTATTACGCAGACAAATTATAGGTACGCACGTTAAATACGCCATTCAATGCGTTATATTGGAGTCAACGCTCTCGCCCGTGGTGTACACGACGTCTTTCACTCGGTGTGCTTCTGCTTGGGCACATGAAGAGACGCGCGAGTTCGTCCCTTGCATTGATTTCCAATCCTGTCGTCGTTTCTGATTTGTGCAACACAGCATACGACTCACAAGCAAGCAGAAGTTCACTTCATCAAATCAACCACATTGAACGAAGACGATGGTCATCGCTACGCACAGTACAGTGTAGTGTAGTTGGTCTGGGTGTCAAGGCTTCAAAATGTAAATACTAGTGCTAGTACCCCATTTATGGGTCTATAAAACCTCGTAGAGTCAGCATCGCCGACGACCTGTATCGTACTGTACTAGTGGAGCGCGCCTGGATCCCCGGCCAGGATCATCCGCGAGAGCACCGCGTGACGTCTCCAAAACCAGTCGGCGGTCCACGCAAAACCAGCTGGCACGACTTTGCCGTCCAGAGCCTCCAAACGGCACATTGCACTTGGTGCGGTAACGCCACCTGTTGCTTCTGAATCTGGATCTGCCGTCTGATCCCGACCGACGTGTCGCGATCGAATGTACTTACTCACACCGCCGCCGCTTTGGATTTCGCGCGCCTGCTGCATTCTGG